CTCGACCCTAATTTTATCATGTTATAAGTGTTTGGCAATTAATTTTGTCATATTGTGTACTAGAATAGGCAATAATAGGATATATGCTGTAAGTGTGTATATTTATTCTAACTAGGTTTGAAAGCTGTTTTTATTGGTTTTTCTTCGCACAATAAATCAATTATTAATTAAATTTATTTATAAATAACAATAATATTTCATGAAAATTGTATTGTCATTCACTAGGATATAGTGTAGGCACTCGTATACCCCCTCACACTGTAAACATAATTAAAATACATGAATATTAATTAATTATTACATTTAGAAATTAGGATTACAAGTTATTTTATAGTGCTAATTTGTAGGAACAAGGCAACTTTTGTTTTTACTACAATGTAATTACCATATTAAAATGTCATTTAAAATAAGCATGTTTTCTACCCAAACTAATAGTCACTTATTTTTCCCCATAACTGCACTAAAAAACTAAAGTAAAAAGTTTTTCCGGTATTCAACAAAAACCGCAAACCATATAAAAAAGGTTAATTTAAGCCTTTAATTAATTAACCACCATATTACATGCAATAGAAGTTGGTCACATATACATTTAATTAATTATTTTATAATTATAATGATTATAACTTATAATTTATAAGTTATAATTTATAACAAATTGCTATCTCAGACACAATCTATAAAATAATTTCACTTTTAATAATTTAATTCCTACTCTAATTATAATTAATTGCAAACATTTTATTAATTACAAAAAAAACACAATTACTGATGATATTAACCGCAACCCGTGTCCGCACAGATTGATCCCCGACTGCGGCAATGTTTGATACGCTTCGAGGACTCATCGCTGCATTGGATCCGATTTGACGATTTGCACAAACAGTTGAGCGCCGATTCAGTGATGGCCGACTCAGACATACTGTGCGCCGAGTGCCGGGACGGCCGGTCGCGGGCGCCCAACGAGATAGTCATATGCGATGTCTGCAATCAGGGTTACCATCAACGGTGTCATCGGCCGCGTATTGGCGACGAGATACTGGAGCCGGACGTGCCCTGGACTTGTCGCCTGTGTGTCTTCGCGTTGGGCACCAAACAGGGCGGTGCCGAGAGGGGCGGCACAGTTGGCCGGGCGATGAAACACATGAAACGCGAGTTCCCGTACGACCTCCAGGACCTGCACTGGGATGCGGAGCATCAGACAAACGCCGAGCGCCGGTACTGTTACTGCGGCGGCGACGGGAACTACTGGTCAAAGATGCTAACGTGCGGCACATGTGCCCAATGGTTTCACGAGGCGTGCATTCAGGTGTTGGAGACACCGCTGCTCTACGGCGACCACTATTATCAGTTCAAGTGCGGTGTCTGCGCCCGACCGGCGCGGGAACAGCTGAAACGTGTGCGCATAGACTGGCCCGATATGTTGGCGCTGGTGATCAACAATCTGGCTCTTCAGCACCAGAAGCGCTTCTTCGACCTGACGACGGATATACTGCCGTTCGTCCAGACCTACGGTCACGTGTGGCGTATGGCCGAAGACGTACAGAAGCTGAGCGAACTGGAACTGCTGGAGCGTATGGACGCGGCGCTGACCGGCGACCCGATTCGGTTTGTTAACGGCCGCGAAGTGCGCAAAAAGCACTCGACTTGGGCTCTGAGGATACCGTTTCCCTTCGAGAAGCCGTTGATATTTTCGCCGCCACCTCAGGATCAGCTCTCGCCCACCCCTTCGACCCCCGGCTCGTCGCCCATCGCGAAAGCAACGGCTCCGACACCGAAGGCTACCTCAGCGACGGCCAGTCCGTTGCCACTGATATACGGCGCCTGTCGTAAGGGTGCGACCAAATACCCGGTCCCTAACAAAGGGGGCGCCGCAGCGGTCATAGCGGCCGTCGCTACCGCTTCCTCCGCACAGAAACCGATTACGAGTAATAATAAAAGTGTAAATAATAAGAAACGGTCGGCAGCGGTGCTGAAGGCCGGCCGAAGCGATAGTTGCAGTTCCAGTACCGGCAGCAACAGCTGCAGCACAGCCAGTATGGGCAGCACTGGCGGCCGGTGCCCGCAGACGGCTTCTTTGGCGGCCGTCCGGGCGGCCATTGCCAAGAAAAAGGCCCGAACGGCCGCCCGACCCAACCCTAAGCTCAAACCGCTGGCCATCGAGTGCTACAAAGCACGGCCTCTGCCGCCGCCCATATGCGGCAAACTGGGCGCCGCCTCAGTGGCCAAACGGGTGTCCAAATACACGTCATTCCGCGGCCGAGCGATGAACGGCTCGGAGGACAGCTGTGTCAGCGAAGACACGGACACTACGGTCGCCACACCGGTGGTCGACTCGTTGGACGCGGCGATACCGGTGCCCAAGAACTTTGACGGCCATAACAACCCGTTCGTGGCCGACGTGGACAACGCCCTGCGCGGCCGACTCGGCACATGCAGTCCGCCGATGAGTAGTCCGACCAGAATCTCGTGCAAAGTGGAGCCGTATTCGCCGGGCAGTGGCGGCGGCGGCTGTAGTGGCGGTTCGCCGGTCGCCGATCTGACCACTCCTAAGATGGAGTGCTATATCGGCTCGAGTGGCGGCGCCGGCGGCTCCGGTTCGCGGACTGACCACCCGTTCAATATATTGGCCCAACGCGTGACCCCCGACGGCAAGATTGAGTATCTGCTCGAATGGCAAAATTGAAAAAATGACATGTATTTGTTGTGTTTGACCATGGTCATTTTGAATGCGATACCAAATGTTGTATTTAATTATTACTACTAATTATTTTATTATAATTATTGCTATTAAATGATCGATTGATTGAATTAATTAATATGCAGTAATCAATACCACACATGAAATAACAGATATTTATGAAATCAAACATATTATGGAATATAAATTATATATTTATATATTTAATTACCGTGTAATTTATAATTAAATTAAAACTTAAGATTGTAGCTGGATCAAATAATGCATATTTTTATTATCGAAATTATAATAGTGTGTAAAACAAAGTTGTAATTTAAAAACCATTTTAAAAATATTGTTTTTGCAATCAATTTAAATCTGTTTCTCTCGCCCGCAACCCCTGGCCTTCGCCCCTCCCGACCCCCAGGGCTTCTTCTGGTGATCAGTTCATACGTTTTGTTTGTTTTATAATTTGTTTAAATTGTTAAACAAAAAATACTTTCCAATCATTTATTAATTTAATACCAAAACACAAGTGAAATGTAAATAAATTGTTTTTATTTGCGCCCAAAAATCGCATTACAATTAAAAATAAATTCATTAAATATATCATTAAAACTAAAATTACTCTCAATTAAACACCAATGGCTTAATCGGAAAATTTAATCTAAAATCAATATCCAATTACAACAACAGTATTGGGACAACACATCTAAAGTACAGCTCCGGGCGTTTACAACGCAAACACCCGATAATAAAACAACACTTAAATACTTTGTTTGCGGTATAAAAACAGTGTTTAATTTGGTTACTAATAATAAAACATAAAAAAGAGTATTAAATTGTAATTAATTATATAAAAAACATGATAAAAAAAGTCCGCATGATTTACACCAATAATAATAATAATATCATATAATATAAGGCAATTGAGTTTCAATCACAGGACTGTTTGGACACATAAACACACGGGTAGTAGAGAGCGGACGGACGGTGCGATTGGCGGCGACGGCACTCATTGACTCTCTTCGAGCACATCCTCGTCGAACTCGCCCTCGTCTTCGGCGGACAACTCCTGGTACTGTTGATACTCGGAGACCAAGTCATTCATATTGCTCTCGGCCTCTGAGAACTCCATCTCATCCATGCCTTCGCCGGTATACCAGTGGAGGAAAGCCTTTCGACGGAACATAGCTTTTGTGGACAACAAACGAGACAAACAAAGAGTTAATCATCAAAAATAGGAGTTCCAGCGAGTGATCAAAGACTCTGAGACCACACCACCAACGCATACATACCATTGAATTGGTCGGACACACGCTTGAAGAGCTCCTGAATGGCGGTGGAGTTGCCGATGAAAGTGGCGGCCATCTTGAGATTCCGCGGCGCGATATCACACACCGCTGTCTTCACATTATTTGGGATCCACTCAACAAAATACGAAGAGTTCTTATTCTGGACGGAAAGCATCTGTTCGTCGACCTCTTTCATAGACATACGGCCGCGAAAAATGGCCGCAACAGTGAGATAGCGGCCGTGTCTCGGGTCACAGGCGGCCATCATGTTCTTGGCGTCGAACATCTGTTGGGTCAGCTCCGGGACAGTCAACGGCCGGTAGGATTGATTGCTACGAGAGGTGAGCGGCGCGAAGCCGGTGATGAAGAAGTGTAGGCGAGGGAAGGGAACCATATTGACGGCCAGTTTGCGGAGATCGGCGTTCAGTTGGCCGGGAAAGCGTAGGCATGTGGTCACACCCGACATCGTCATCGAGACCAAGTGGTTGAGGTCGCCGTACGTAGGAGTGGGCAGTTTGAGGGTACGGAAGCAGATGTCGTACAGCGCCTCGTTGTCGATACAGTAGGACTCGTCAGTGTTCTCCACCAATTGGTGCAACGATAGGGTCGCGTTGTACGGCTCCACCACTGTGTCCGACACCTGTGGCCACAAAAAACAAACAGTCAATTAATACAAATAACAATACAATATCTATTGGATCAGCTATTGGTGATCACCACTGAATACTGACCTTTGGCGATGGCATAACGGAATAGGTGTTCATGATTCGATCGGGGTACTCTTCGCGTATTTTGGATATCAAGAGTGTGCCCATCCCGGAGCCGGTGCCGCCGCCCAACGAGTGGGTCAACTGAAACCCTTGCAAACAGTCGCACCCTTCGGCCTCTTTGCGCACCACATCCAGCACTGTGTCCACGAGTTCGGCGCCTTCCGTGTAGTGGCCTTTCGCCCAGTTATTGCCGGCACCCGATTGGCCAAAGATAAAGTTGTCCGGACGGAACGTCTGGCCAAAGGCCGACGACCGCACCGCGTCCATAGTGCCCGGCTCCAGGTCCAGGAGTACGGCTCGTGGCACGTATGTGTTCACTGCGGAGGAATAAATGGCATTCATTAGTTGACTGCTTAGTGGGATCTAATGGATTGGTGGCCACACATAGACAACACACTTACCCGAAGTCTCGTTGTAGTAGACATTGATGCGCTCCAACTGGAGGTCACTGTCGCCTTGATAGCGACCGGTCGGGTCGATGCCGTGCTCATCGCTGATCACTTCCCAAAACTGATGGCGCAGACAATGACAATGGAGTTAATGACAGCTCAAGAGGGGGCGAGGGGTGGGGGTGTGGTAGACAATGGCTGCCACACCACACGTCATGACACATACCTTCGCGCCGATCTGATTGCCGCACTGTCCGGCCTGTATGTGGACGATCTCTCTCATGGTGTTATGGCGTTGGATCCAATTGAGTGACACTAAACTTCTTGAGCAAAACACTGACACAATATGTGGCACAAAAAAATCAATGGCAGAGACTGTATGAGAGAGGATGTGATTGATATGTGTTGTGTTGACTATCGCTGTATGAGTTGAGCACTCGATGTAATGAACGAGTCTTTTATGTCTTTGGGGTTTGGGATGCGATTGAGAGCCAAATCACTGGTTAGACTCAACACTCAAACCACTCTAACAGCCAATCACAGCCTCGATTACACGCATAGCACGTGTCACTCAAATACCAATACCCAGTCATCCAATACACTGTAATATACTGTACACTAGTGTTGTATTTCCAGGCATTGAATACGCCTTTCGGCAGTTGAATAGACATTTGACGGCTTGTCTGCGAGTCAGGGCCTGTCAAGGGGTACAACCTGTAGGGGGACAGGGGTTAGGGGTTCTGTTGTGTATCATCGCACGTGTTATGGTGTATATTCTGCACCCCCTGTGTGTCACTGACCCATGAATTTAAAAAAATTTCATATCTCACTATAAACTAAATAAACTTTTTATTAACCCAAACAACTATATATTGTCTACCTTGGTAACAAACCTCCGGTCTATTAGTCAGACACAAACACATACATGCAATCTAATTGACAAAACAAACTGTACATGCTAAAAGTTTGAAATGTAACCATAAAACTATTTCAACTACAGTATCTCATATTGCAATATGAGAGTATGCGATATAAATTAGACTACATGGTGATGGTTGTTTTACGATGATTATTGTATAACATTAACTTTTTTTTTCTCAACTTTAACTCGTGCACTCACTTCCAGAATATTTGGTTATTTTACTTTTTTAACTTGAAATACATGACCTCCGCATACTTTTCTGTATTATGTAGTTTTTTTCATGTAGTTTAACAACATATTCAACAGTATTATAATCCGTAAAGTTGCACTATGTAGAACAACTTTTTTTCAAGTTCAAACAACCCGCCCCCTGCCCCTTCCCCTCCCCCTCATTCATCACATAATAAATACAACCCATTACTCTCCCCTCACACCCCCTGCCCCCACCCCCTGTGTGTACCCAATAGTGGGTTTGACTGTAGCGGAAATTTAATTAATTATTTTTTT